GGAGAAAAGGAAGGTCGATGCATGGGGTCCACCTGGCTTTCAGATGATGGACGCCTAGGGCTTACATTTGGAAATGAGACAATTATTGAGGATTGTGGACAAAATATTGTTGTATCTGATCAAGGTCTAGGGTCCGTTTTACTTTCGTTCTCTAATTTGGAGAGAAATAAGAGAAGTCCTGAAATTAAGCATAAGAAAAGGTTTTATGATGGAGTAGCAACCTCCTCACAGCTAGCATCTCAACTCACATATCTTGATTCGTCAATCACCCAGGCTATAAACTTTGCTTTTTCGCAGTCACTAAGGTCCTTTTGTGAATTTACTGAAATGGTCAAACATTGGACTGAGTCAACTTATCTCTCAGATCCTACAGATCTGGCGCGCTCTATGTTCTCTAATTCGTATCTGGTTGCAAAAAGGTCTGCGAGATCCTTAATGAAAGTATGGCCATGCGTACCTATAGATAAAGCAGATTTTGAATTTCGTCCTACTAAGCTAGCTCACTGTTTTGAATTTTTGCCTATTATTTTAAAAACAGAAAGTAATGAACACCTGGCGTTTCTTGATCCCACGACAATGATTATATCTCCGACATCTAAGAAGGGTCCCTGTGAAGAATTTAGAAAAATAATTATTCAAATAAATGATCAGACCTTAGAAGTTGATCAAATTGAAGGTAAAATTACTTCGGTAAGGCCAAGGATATTAAAATCCCATGACATAAAGATTAATTTTGCTGATTTTATTCCAAGCATTGAGTCTCATGCATTTCATCAACTAGTACTTCTAAACATGACTGATATTAAGGATCATGCATTCGTTAGTAATTTAGTCAAAGTTAGTCAAATGACTTACCAAATTCATGAAAAAGATTCTATTGTGTCGACATCTGTGTCGAATGAGTGGCAAGAAGTTGAAAATCAAATTGAGAAAGGATTAATTGGTGATTATAAGAGCATTTGGGAGACAATTATTTCAATCCTAGTGGTAATTTTAGCGTTAGATTTTGGATTAAGGTTCTCGATGATTATTGCTGAAATGTATGCGGGCAATGGGCGACTAGGTAGACTTATTTTTGGATCCGAAGTTCAGAAGGCTCCACCCCCTAGGAGAATGTTAGACATTCGAAGAGTACCAGAACCCATTGTAGAGCTAGATGAAGCATATGAAGAACCAGTAAACAGGCCACTATCGATTTCTTGGCCTCCTTCAATAAGAAATAACGCTAACTCCAATACTTTACCAAGAAGCACCGCAAATACAAGACCTAGGTCTACTATAGGAATTAATAGAACTAGTGGATTTATAGGAACTTTAGGAGTAAATGCCAATACTGTTGTGATTGATGTCAGTTTAAATAGTATTCCAGTCAAATGCCTGATTGACACTGGTGCAATAACCTCTGTAGCAAACATAGCACTCGCAGAATGGCTAGGGACAAAAATTTTTAAAACTGAAACTTATCTTCAAAGTGCCTCGGAGCATTCCATGTGTGCCAAGCAAGCCACTAAGGTTCAATTAAAAATAGCAGGAGTGTTAGCTGAGATTGTTATTCATCTTTTTAATGATAAGTTTCACTGGGATAACCACGATTATCACTTCATTTTGGGTTGTGATGCAATGACACTGCTGCCTCCATTTGTCGTTGATCTTAGAAATAAGTTGTTTCGTATTGAAGGCAGTCAAATATGTATTGAGAACAGAGTAAATAGGCCGCTAAGAAATTTAAAAATATATTCAATAGAGACTTGCGAGATAAGGCCCAATGAGCAATGCTTAATAAAAGCTAAAATAAATTTCCCTGAATTGCTTAGGCATAATATCTGGGTGCACTCAATAGATGACAGACTTGAAGAAGAAGGTTTAAGTTTTGTGCCAGTAGTAGCTAAGCCAGAAGATGGTGTAGTGAAAATAATTTTAGCCAATCCGACTGGGGTAACAAAAAGATTATTTAAAGGAAAGACATTAGGTCTAGCAAGTGAAGTAATTAAAACAGAATCTGAGAATATTTTATCAGAAATAATCGTTAATGAAGATGTTCAAGAAATCTTTTCCTTAGGGAAGACCGGGGTAATCATTGATCCTACCTACAAAATTGACTTTGATAAAGCTACTGTAAAGGGCGAAGATCTTAATAAACTAAAAGAACTTTGTGATGAGTTTGAAGACATTTTTAGCAAAAGTCAGTATGATATAGGAAGTTGTACAGCAGGCGAACATGATATAATCACAACATCTGAGGAACCAGTTGCTTCTAGACCACATCGAGTACCTTTTAAGTATCGTGATGAATTACAAAAGCATATTGATCAATTATTAGCCTCAGGGGTCATGGTTGAGTCCGATACCCCTTGGGTTTCTAACATAGTATTGGTTCAGAAGAAGGATGGTGGGCTTAGGCCATGCATTGATTTTAGAAAATTAAATGAAGTGACTGTCCCGGACCATTTTCCTTTACCCAGACTTGAAACAATTTTAGAGAAAGTAGGTAACTGTAGGTACTATTCTTCGCTTGATCTTGCTAGTGGATATTTGCAAATTAAACTTAGTGAAAGAGCGTCAAGAAAGTGCGGTGTTATTACTGAGGACAAAATCTATCAGATGGTAAATCTTCCGTTTGGACTTAAAAATGCAACTAGTGCTTTCGCAAGAATAATGGCTCATGTTTTAACAGGGCTTGATAATGTCATCGCATATGTTGACGATATACTGATTTTTACTAAGTCTGACAATTTTGAAGAGCATATCAATGCCTTAAGGAGTGTGTTTGAAAGATTTAGGCGCTTTAATCTAAAATTAAGTCCAAAAAAGTGTGTCTTTGCTTCGAAAAGCATGGAATTTCTTGGTTTTATTGTAAATGAGTCAGGATATACACCTAGTTTAAGAAAAACGGAAACAATTCTGAACCTGAAAGTTCCCACTACGGTTAGAGAGGTCAGACATGTAATTGGAATGGCAAATTTCTTTAGAAAGCATGTGCAAAATTTTTCTACAATAGTTGAGCCATTAACAAGATTAACACGAAAAGAAAAACCATTCATTTGGGGCGAGGAGCAACAAGAAGCCTTTGAAAAAATTAAGAAAATATTATCCGAAAAGCCAGTTTTAATTTTTCCTGATTATTCAAAACCTTTCCATATATTTTGTGATGCGTCGCAAGTAGGTCATGGTGGGGCTTTAATGCAATGGGATGAAGAGAAAAAGGTTTATGGAGTTATTTGCTACTGCAGCAGAACTCTTTCCAATGCAGAAAGAAATTGGCCACCTGTTCAAATAGAATTAGGGGCTATTATTTTCGCGCTTCGGCAATTTAAACCTTTTATTTTCATGTCAAGTATTGAACTTCACACTGACCACAAGCCTCTGGCATTTCTCTTAAAAAAGGCTGAAACTCACCAGCATCTAGCGCGTTGGCTTGTAGAATTGCAGAACTATAATATTAAAATAGTACATATAGCTGGCAAACAAAATACTCTGGCCGATGCTCTCTCGAGAATTCCTCATGAAGATTTGACTCCTGAAGAAGTTGATAAAATTAGTGAATTAGAAGACATAGCTGAATTCCCTGTATGTTTAGCTATTGAAAGTAAACCAAGAGTAGTTCACGAAGTATTCGCATTAACGTTGTCTTTAAGGTCCATTGAGGGTGAAACGCATCAAGTTGATATTAATAATGAACAAATGGAAGACCCTGAAGCATCGATTGTGATAGAATTTTTGAAAACTGGAAAATTCCCTGAGGACATAACTGAAGGGGAAAAGGATGAGTACGCAACATTGGCAAAAGATCTTTGTCTTGAGTCGGGGGTGCTTTACCATCACTACAAGGACCATAAGCCTAGAATTTATATTCCTATTTCGCTTAGAGCCATGATTTTTGATTCGTTCCACACAACTAAGTTAGGTGGGGGACACATGGACTTTGGGAAAACCTTTAGAAAATGCAAGAAATATTTCTGGCCCAGAATGCATTCAGACATAGTGACTTGGTATAAGCAGTGCATTACCTGTCAGCTTAGGCATTCTCCAAATCCTCCATATAGAGCTGAGATGTGCATGCCACCAGTAAACACGCTTTTTGCCAAAGTAGGTCTTGATTTGGCTGGACCTTTTCCTAAAACACAGAATGGTAATAAGCATATTTTAAATATTGTATGTTGGTTTACCAAATTTGTTATATCTGTCCCAATTCCAGATGCAAGGGCGTCTACCATAGCTTCGGCTTTCCTCAAGCAATGCTATTTACGTTTCGGTGGTTGTACTGAATTAATAACTGACAATGCTTCGGCTTTCACCTCGGATTTCTTTAAAAGTTTGTGTGCAATGCTTTATATTAATAAAACTTACGCTATTCCTCATTGGAGTCAGGGCAATGCTGTGACAGAAAGGTCATTTAGGACGTTCCATAATATACTCGCCAAGTACATCACCAGTGATCAGCCTGATTTTGATGAGCATTTAGAGTTCGCTAACTTTTGTTATAACACCTCAGTCCACCAATCGACAAATGAGACTCCTTTCTTTTTAATGTATGGACGTGATCCAATATTCTGTGTTGATTTAATTTTGGATCCCAGAATAAGAGAACCAATAGCCCTAAATGATGAGCAAGAGATAAAACAGAAACTAATTGTCTCCCTAAGATGCGCATGGAAATACGCGGCAGAAGCTAATAGCGAAGCACAGCTAAGATCAAAGGCGCAATATGACAAGTTACTTAGGAATCCAACTGTTACAATAGGTGATAGGGTGCTTCTTCGGAATTATACTGGAAAAGTCGGGTCTTCAAAGAAATTCCATCTTCCCTGGAAGGGTGTATTTCGAGTCATCGAGATTAATGGTGTTCGTGTGACAATAATTAGTTGTAGTTCACCCCAATCTAACCCTAGAATAGTTCATATTAACCAGTTAAAGAAATGTATAGAGCCCTTACCTTATGAACCAGCATGCACAACTCCTAGGTTAGAAAATGATGATTTAGAAGCTTTGGCAGAGGCCAATGCAGAGGAAATAATTGATATGCCGGGATTTTCTCACAAAAATGTTGTTGAACCGAATGTAGTTGTAGAACAAGATAGTCAAGCTGATGAAACGTTAGGACGTCAAGGATTAGGCAGATACAATTTAAGAAGAAATCCCAAGCAAAAGATTCTCATAATAGCTTCGGCAACTGCAAGGAAATAATAAAAATAAAATAATAATAAAATAATTAATAAAATAAATAAATAATAACTAAATAATAAATAAATATAATAAATAAATATAATTTTTGTAAATAAAATATAATTTGAAAAATGAGAAAGTAAAATAGTAAAATTCTAATAAATATAGATGAAACAGCCAGTTACAACTACAGCGCTTGATGGAACAAAATTAACTTTATTTTTTACTAAAGTTTTTGTGTTTTCTAACCACTTCAGTTGTCTGTTTACAATTGATGGCATGGATTTCTGTTGTACTGAGCAGTACTACATGTATTACAAAGCGCTAGTGTTCGAAGATTTTGAGTCGGCTCAACAAATTCTCTCCACCAAAAACGCGGCTTTAATTAAAAGGATTGGATCACGAATCCGAAATTTTGATCACTTTAAATGGAGACGTGTGTCTATTCTTATTATGGCTATTGCTAATTGGTATAAATATCGCCAGAATCCAGAATTAAGAAGAATTTTATTTCAAACTGGACAATCTCTTTTGGTCGAAGCAACCTCCCGTGATCTATACTGGGGTTGCGGTGTAGACATTTCTTCGCCTAAGATTGTTGAGAAGAACAAATGGCCTGGGAAGAATGTGTTGGGCATCATTCTAACAGATATTCGAACCAGGCTTCTCAGTTAGTAATTTAAGTAGTTATAGGAACATAAAGTAAAATAAACTGAATAATCTGATAAATTCAAACAAATTAAAATTAATGAAAAATAATTTACTTAAGTTTTAAAAATCTAATTCCACTTTAATTTAGAAATTGAAATGGAAAACCGACAACATATTCTGGATTTGAATAATTTGGTCGAGTTCCCGCCACTATCCTCAACAATTTTACCTACTAATTCTCCCAAGGCACAGTCCACCAGTATTCCTCCGTCTGCTGTGTCGTCGTCGTCCGCTGATAAAAGTCCACCAGTCCATCAACCGAGTTGTTCCACCACTAGTTGTTCCACCAGCAATATCCAGGCTTCGGCCATTAAACGGATTGAAAACATAGAGAAAGAGAAATGTAAAGAAACCACGGAAGAATTGCCTAAAGAAAATGTTGAAGAGAAAGAAAAGAAAATAGTAGAATACCTGATTTGTCAGGTGGAAGAGAATGGAGTCATTGGAGCTCGTTTCAACCCAACCACGAATAGAAATTGGCCACACTTTGTTCTGATAAAGAATGAACTGGCAGAGAAGAGTGATGGCTTTGTTGCAAAATTACAGCTCGGGGATTCGGTCTGGGTATCTGAGTTCCAATGGCGAGAAGGCTATAAAGTTTTGGCTAAGAATGCTGGAGAAGTGACTCAGTATAGGAAGATTTGGTTCCATAGTCGCATTAATAGTCAGGCCACAGTCTCTTGTATTGAGTTCATCTCGTATGCAGAAAGAGTTGAATGTTCTGGTGTTGTTATCAAAATCAAAGAAACCAAAGATGTCAGATCCTGTTGTATAGTCATCGCTTCGAAACTTCAAGTGTCCACTCGTTGTTATCGTCGTCAGTTGATTGGACTAAACTTAAATGATATTGAAATTGGTCAATTAGTTAAAGTTTCGGTCGCTAAATTACCTGCAAACTTTCTTGTCGATGAATCGTATGTCCTCCCACACATGACTGAATACAAAATTGGTTCTGAAGAAGTCATTCAGCAAGGAATGGGCACTCTTGGAACAGTAGAAGCACACGGGCCTTGGCCATATAAAAGGAATGGAAAAAATATATTTTATCCTCTGTTACCTGAAATGACGCAGGGTGAAGTTGAGTTGTCTGAAGGTATAATGTCTGCAGCAATTGGCTTTTCGTATGAGGATGAAAGAAGGAAAATTGTTGAAAATAGGTTCGAAGGCACAGCCATTTTTGTTGATGAACTGTTCCGTCTAGGTTTCACTGAGATTGACAGTGCAAAGGTGAAAAATTTGAAGGATGCTTGGAACGAAGATGATCAAGTAGTCCTCAAGTCGGAGATGCATCTTCCAAGTTTTGCATCAGGTGTTGTTAGAAAGATCGAAGTTTCTCAGGTTCAGTCCTTCGGGAACAAGAGATTTGATTTTTGGATTAGTGTGAGGGTTGTCAATGTCCAGGAGCGAAAGAACAGAGATGTCGAGGAAGAATTGGAAAATGCCAAGGATGGGGGCTTCATTGTAGTTCATCCGTTTCTGTTTAAAGGGTTGGAAAGTCGTCGAGAGTGCTTTGATTTAAATATGCCATCAACTTTATCTTTGCAAGACACTAACCAAGGAAGACTTCTTCGCGCTTTACTGGCCAGAGAATTTGAAGTCGATGACGATGTGGAAGAGTGGGATGCTTCGGCAGTTGAAAGGATTCACCCATTGATGAGATTATTGAATAGGAAACAGCAAGAAACAGCCAAAATTTTGTTGGAAGAGGGTTGTAAATTTGTTTTCCAACAGGCTCCGCCTGGAGTGGGGAAAACCCACGTGGCGTCTGTTGTTGTTGCCATAATGTTGTCCATCGTGACTAATGTTAAGGTAGCAGTGATTACAGCAGCGAACTTGCCTTTGGCAAAGTTAGCTCGCGAGTTGGAAGAAGTGTTAGGTAGCCCTGAGATGGAGCGGTCAGGAGCTGTCGCTTTCTTTTCGGGCTATGCTAAAGATAAGTATTTTGGTATGATTAACGAGCTTCGGCAGCATATGTTAGTCACCAAATTGAAGTCAGAGGAAGTTCTGAGAAATCTTGGAAACGCTGACGTAAAAGAAATCGATCAATATTGTGAAAATTTCGATCGCAGGCCAAGGTTAACCAATGAATGTAAAATGGGGTCTCTCCTCGCAGAGCTCTCCAGACTACGCATTGTGTTTGCCACGTCATCCATGGCAGAAGCAATGGTGAATTCCTCGTTGCTCGATACGTCAGTTCTCATCTTTGATGAGGCGACGCAAGGAAGTTTTACTGAGCTCGCTCATTTAATTTGTCGTCTTCCCAAACTTGAAAAGGTGTTGGTCACTGGAGACCAACACCAACTCGGTGTCCATCTCCAGAACCTGCCTAAGTGCCTCCACTATGGCTTTGGCCTGGAGAGCATGGTCGAACAATTAGTCTTGTCGACCTTGGTCAAGCATACTAGGTTGACGGTCTGCTATCGCATGCACCCTGTTTTGGTAGAAGTTGTTTCTTATGCTTCCTACGAGTCGCATGGAGAAAATATCGAGGCAGGCAGAGGTGAGGATGAAAGAGCGTTGTTAACAACCTCACGATTCCCCCTACCAATGCAAAATTGTCCGATTGTGTTGTTAAATGTTGTTGGAACTTGTCGTCAGGATATTATTTCCCATTCTCTCACCAATGATGAACAAACTGCTTCGGCAATTCAACTGATTTCCTCCTTGTATGAAAAAGTCTCACCAAATATTTCCGTCGTCGTTATTTGTTTATATTTGTTTCAAAAGGAATGTATTCAAAAGGAGTTCGAAAAATTGAATAGGAATGTTTTGGTAGTCAGCGTTGATGGCTATCAAGCCCAGGAATGTGATGTTGTAGTACTTGTCACCACAAGATCCTCCAACAGAAGTGGCGGCCTCGGCGATTCCTCGGACTTCTTGAGAGATGATTGTCGTGCAACTGTTGCGTTGAGTCGTGCCAAGCATGGACTTTTCCTCGTCGGTGACATCGAGACTTTGAGAGGTGGTAAAGTATGGAGCAGGTTTATTGATCGCGCTTCAGACTTTACAATGGTTGTTGGTCAAGAGTATTTGAATGTCCTCCGAAGTGGTTCTTGTAAACGTGATAGGTTTGGCCAGCTGTTGTCCGCCAGTGGGAGAGTTGTAGCTAACTTTGTTGATGAGGTGGTTCCACAACAGCAGCAACAACAACAACCTTCAACGAGTGGTATGGTTAGGAATGAAACATGGAGACGAGATGGACCAAGTACAAGTAGAGCTGAAGATTGGTTTGAAAAAGATTTTAATAATTTAAATATAAACAATACCACAAATTATATTCCCAATTTTAGGAAGAGACAAGCTCCCAATGAATGGCAACAATATCAAGGAACTACATTCATCAGAACCGATCAAATGCAATGTTACAAATGTGGAGGCTATGGACACTTCGCTCGCGAATGCATGGAAAACAATTATGGTACTTGGCGTAAGGATTCATGGAGAGGAAGAGGAAAATAAAATTAATTTTTTTTATTTTATTCACTTTATTTGTTTGAATGAGTTTGAATGTTTTTAGGTTTTAAAACATACATTTTGTTTCCCCATAATATTTGTGTTTATTTACATTTTGTTAGACAAATTTCCAATTTTCCGTCTCCACCTTCCACAATTTTCCTTTAAATGTTTTGAATTTACCAAATGCTAACACTAGGACACATTAATGTATTTTAAATCATTGTTTTTTTTTTACCACAGAATTTCTCTTTTAATTTAAGCCTTAAAAATAATTTAAATTTACTTTCATGTTTGCCTTTTATATCAATTATGCCTGTCAAATAGATTTTTTTTCTCCTTCCAAAATTTCTCAAAATGTCATTTTTTTACACCCAAAATGTACAATTTATATAGAAATTTCATTGGAACCCTTCAAAAATATTTTTTTGATTTTAACAATCTGCTTTAATTAATTAATTAATTAATTAATTATTTTGTTTGCCAATTTACATTCAATTTTACTTCCCTCCATATCTCACTTAAGATTTTTCAAAAATTGTTTTTGTTAATATTTATATCCTTCCTCCAACCTCATTTTTAAATGCTATAATAATTTGTTACTGTTTAATCAACTTACTTAAATTCCAAATGCCAATCTTCACATTACTTAATATTTACATAAATTGCAATTTTAGCCAAATTTATTTTATCAGATCCGTTGATTGATTTTTGTGCCACTTTTAAATTAGCCTTACTAATTTCATAAGAATGTATTTTTTTGTGCCATTTATTTCCCACAATTTAATTTGACATTTAATTTTACTTAGGTAATTTCTGGATCCTTTTTTAATATTTTGACACATTTTTACAATTTC